TCAAAGGTTGACAGCTCTATTTACTTTCTGTGGAAGCTGGTCAGGTACAAAAATAGTTCCAACTTCTCAATGTAGTCTGGGAGTATATGTCAAGAATCAGAGAAAAACTTTGCGAAAACCAGAAACATAAAAACAGAGACAGCGTATCTAGTTATGTTATAAGACTCTGTAACTTGAATCTATAGCCGCTACAGTACAAACAGTAGGCGCAAAATCCAGCATGGTAACGAGGCAAGGCCTTAAAATAACACAGCTGTCAAACGTCAGTCGTGCGTGACGGGATCAATCCTGGCAGGCCGCACCCTAATTTCCTAGCGCAAAATTTCGAAGGAAAACACAAGAAACAATCGCTGTAAAAGGAAACAAAGACAAGGAAAAGGAAATCTCGAGACTTCTCGAAGATGCAGCTTATTCAGGTACGGTCAACCCTGTTGACCTACCATTCTGTTTTTGAGCTCACCGAAAAAGGTTATACGCTTTTAAAACACCGTGAATTATTGACTTGTGTGGTTTTTTGTAACTCGTTTGAGACCGCTTGGTTCCTAAGAGAGTGTCAACCGTGATTGCTAATCGACACACCAACACAGCGGCAGAATGGGTTCACTCGCTCGGTGGATAAGGTGCATTCATACCATTTCGTTGCTGATGATCATTACAACGTTGCACATGCGCAGACGTCTGACCGCTGTGTCTCCGCTGTGTTTCCGCTGTGTCTCTGCTGTGTCTCTGCTGTGTCTCCGCTGTCGCCGCTGTCGCTGCTCTGTCGAAAACGCCAGCAAATCGTACACTGGCTTTAGGCTTGGTTGCTCAGCGAGAGCGAAGCCAAACAATATGGCGGCTAAAATACGTAAATAATAATTCGTGTGAATCATCGGTGGCTAGTGTTGTCAATGATAGATAATAACCCTATTCTTTATTGACCTAAATTTTGCATAAATTACCAGATCCTGGGAAATTGATGGGTGGATTTTCTCTTGTTGTCGGATGATTTTCAACATAAACTCCATTTAGTTCTTGTTCATTGCTCATGTTCAGATTTGTCATGTACAGTGCGAAAGCTCAGTGGGTCTGACAAGTCATGTTGTTTTAATTTCAGAGTCCAGAATTGTACACACTACATGAGGAGTGAATTCCATGTTAAATTTCACGCAAAAAACCGTTATTGAAATACACGTGACCAATATTTGCTAAAACCATAAAAAATTACTCACTGGAGTTCAGGATCAAAATCTTTTGTTTACGTTCCTCACGAATGATTATGAAGCAAAATTTAGACAAATAGCTTTCTCTAAATTAGTAAGAATTAGTCATGGTCAACATTTACCTACAAAATTTTTTCAGTACCTGCTCCTACGTTATGCACGGGATCTCATTATGTCTCGTCTGACATGTAATGCGATACTTCGTCTTGTTTGTGCAGATTTCACTTCGTGAGAGCGACTTTCGGTCCGCATGAATTGATTGGAAATTTAAAACATTTGTTTTACAGTACTTCTGTAATTTAAATTCTCCGAAAACTCTTCACTTGCCCTTCGGGCAGGTTAACCACAGAATCCACTAGCCCGATCGCAAAATCCACGAGCCTCGGGCTATCGGACACGACTTTATTTGCACGCTGCATTTGCTAGATATTGATTATCCCTTTAATAATATAAATATCTCCCCTGTCAATTGCTAAGAAATACTCTAGC